CATAGTCCTGAAAACAGCTTGGTATTGGTACAAAAATAGACAGGTAGACCAATGGAATCCAATTGAAAACCCTGATACGGACTCATACACTTACAAACACCTGATTGTTTTTTACAAAGAAGCTAAAATTATACAATGGAAAAAAGAAAGCACCCTCAACAAATGGTGCTGGCATAACTGGATGGTGGAATGTAGAAGATGCAGATAGATCCTTATCTATCACCAGGCACAAAACTTAAGTCCAAATGGATCTAAAACCTCAACATAAATCCAGCCATATTGAAAGTGGGAGGTACCCTTGAATGAATTGGTACAGGAGACAGATTCCTGAACATAACACCAGTAGCACAGACAATGAGATCGACAATTAATAAGTGGGACCTCCTGAAACTGAGAAGCTTCCGTAAGGCAAAGGACATAGTTAACAAGACAAAATTGCAGCCCACAAAATGGAAAAAAGATCTTCACCAACCCCACATTTGACAGAGGGCTGGTTTCCAATATATACAAAGAACTCAAGAAGCTAGTCACCAAAACACCAAATAATCCAATTAAAAGTGGGGTACAGAACTAACTAGAGAATTCTCAATAGAGTAATCTAAAATGGCCGAAAGACACTTAAAGTATTCAACATCCTTAGCCATCAGAGAAATGCAATTGAAAACAACTCTAAGATACCATCTTACACCTGCCAGAGTGGCTAAAATAAAAAACACCAATGACAGTTTATGCTGGAGAGGATGTGGAGAAAGGGGAACACTCCTCCACTGTTGGTGGGAGTGCAAACTTGTACAGCCACTTTGGAAATCAGTATGGCGGTTCCTCAGGAAAATGGGAATCAGTCTACCACAAGATCCAGCAATTTCACTCTTAGGCATATACCCAAAAGATTCACATTCATACACAAGGACATCTGTTCAGCTATGTTCATAGCAGCATTATTTGTAACAGCCAGAACCTGGAAGCAACCTAGATGCCCCTCAACCTAAGAATGGATGGAGAAAATGTGGCACATTTACACAATGGAGTACTACTCAGCGGGGAGAAAAAAACAATGGAATATTGAAATTTGCAGGCAAATGGATGGATCTAGAAGAAACCCTCCTGAGTGAGGTAACCCAGTCACAAAAAGACAAACATGGTGTGTACTCATTCATATATGGATATCATACATAGAGCAAAGGAATACCAACCTACAGTCCACACCACCAGAGAAGCTAGGAAACAAGGAGGACCCTTAGAGAGACATATGTGGTCCTTTGGAGAAGGGGAAAGGGACAAGATCTCCTGAGCAAATTGGGAGCATGGGGAGAGGGGAGAAAGAGTTAGGAGAAAGAGAAGGGGAGAAGAGCAGAGCAGAGGAGGACATGAGAGAGCAGGAAGATTGAGTTGGGGGAAGAATAGAGGAGAGCAAGAAAAGAAATACCATAATAGAGGGAGCCATTATAGGTTTAAAGAGAAATCTGGCATTAGGGAAATGTCCAGAGATCTATAAGGATGATGCCAACTAACAATATAAGCAATAGTGGAGAGGCTGCCTTAAATGCCTGACCCTGATAATGAGATTGATGACTATCTTATATGCCATCCTAGTGCCTTCATCCAGTAGCTGACAGAAGCATAAGCAGACACCCATCGCTAAACACTAAGCTGAACTCCTGGAATCCAGTTGTGGAGAGGGAGGAGTGATGAGTAAAGGGGTCTTAGACCAGGCTGGAGAAACCCACAGAAACATCTTACCTGAACAAGGGGTTGCTCATGGACCCCAGTCTGATAGCTGGGAACCAGCATAGGACTTACCCAGACCCCCTGAACAAGCGTGTCAGTTAGGAGGTCTGGGAAATCTATGGGGCCTCTATTAGTGGTTCAGTATTTATCCCTAGTATATGAATGGACTTTTGAAGTCCATTCCACTTAGAGGGATACTCTCTCAGCATAGACACACAGGGGAGGGCGTAGGCCCTGCTCCAAATGATATGACATTTGACATTTGAAGATCCCCATGGAAGGCCTCATCCTCCCTGGGGAACAGAAAGGGGATGGGAGAGAGGGTTGGTGGGGCCCAGAGGAGGAGGGGAGAGAGAGGGGATTGGGATTGACATTTAAAACAAGCTTGTTTGTAATTTAAATAAAGGAAAAAAAGATTTGGGGCAATAACTATTTGGAGATTTTTTTTTTTTTTGGCTTTTCTAGCCCCAGTTTCTCTATGAAAAGAATGAGGCATGCCGGTTTCGTATTGATGTGTAGTGTTTTAGTGGCAGAACAGACGCTGTGGGTTTCTCAGGTAGAGCGGGCTTGGGGAATGCACATGATCCTTTCTGCTTGCTACCTAAGTTCTTATCACATTCACTTGTGGCAGACTACAGATGCTTAGGAGGCTCAAACCTGACAGGTCAGAACAAGGTCCTCAGAAACCTGGAAACCTCTACACATGTCAGAAGCAAGAGATTACTGGAGATGGGAGATGGGCTGTAAAATAAGAGAAGAAGCAGGCTTAGACTTTTGGAGAGCCACAGGTATCCTTTGCACTCGTGTCCCAGTGGGCTAGATGAGAGGCAGGGGCAGTCTTTTAATGAGGGAAACCATGAATTTATTTCTTTATCTAATGTTTCATACATGCATATAATGGAATAGAGTCATATAGATCCCCTCCATCACTACTCACATCTCGTCACCCACCGGCAGTGCACATGTCCACATTAATATTTGCTAATTGTTTGTATTATTGATGCTGGCAGTATGACCATTCCAACTTGGGAGCAATGGAATCTTAAAGTGGCTTTAGCGTGCATTTCCGTGATGGCTGAGGATGTTGAGTCTTTTTTTTTTTTTATTTGAATTAGGAACAAGATTGAATTACATGACAATCCCAGTTCCCTTCTGCCTCCCTTCCTCCCCTACCAACCCCCCCAACTAAAACCCTACCTATCACATATCCTTTCTTCTAATCTTCACCTGATTTAACCTTTCTGCTCCCTCATGACCTCTGCATCCTTCCTCTTCTTCCCTTCTCATTCTCCTAGCTCCCTCCCTCCTCTTCCCATGCTCTCAATTTGCTCAGGGGATCATGACCCTTTTCCCTTCTCTAGGGGACAATGATTGTCTCTTTTAGGGTCCTCCTTGTTTACTAGTTTCTCTGGCAGTGTGGATTGTAGGCTGGTAATCCTTTACTCTATGTCTAAAATCCACATATGAGTGAGTACATATCATGTTTGTCTTTTTGTGATTGGGTTACCTCACTCAGAATGGTTTCTTCTAGTTCCATCCATTTTCCTGCAAATTTCAAGATTCCATTGTTTTTTTCCTCTGAGTAGTAAAGTCTGCCATACTGATTTCCAAAGTGGCTGTACAAGTTGGCACTCCCACCAGCAGTGGAGAAGTGTTCCCCTTTCTCCACAGAGGATGCTGAGTCTTAAGGGTTGCTTCTTAAGTTGTTTCTTACACACACACACACACACACACACACCCCAATTCTCTGTTAAGTTCGTAGCCCATCTTAAAAATGATTTAAATTTATTTTTAAATTATGTTTATGTATCTTTGTGTGGATATGTGCATGTGAGGGCAGGTGCGCTCAGAGTACATAAGAGGGAATCAGTTCTTCTAGAGGTATAGTTACTGATGGTTTTGAGGCTACTGCTGTGGGTGTTGGGAACTAAACTAGAGCCTATCTAAGAGCAGTTTGCACTCTTAACTGCTGAGCAGTCTTTCTAGTTCCCATAGGCTGTTTTCATCTTAGGTTTTTCTTTTCTCTTGTCTTTTTTGGTTTTTTTTTTTTTTTTTTTTTTTTGGGGAGACAGGGTTTCTCTGTGTAGCCCTGGCTATCCTGGAATTAACTCTGTAGACCAGGCTGGCCTCCAACTCACAGAGATCTGCCTGCCTCTGCCTCTTGAGTTTATTAATAAACAACCATCTGGCAGGTTGTTTATTTTCTTAATGTTTAGTATTTTAGGGGGTTCTTTATGTATTTTAGGCACTATAATCCTCTGTCAGATAACTATCTGGCAAAGATATTCCAGGAGTCCATGAATTCTTGTAACAATTCTAGCAAATAACTAGTGCTGACCCATAGTGAAATCTAGGAATGTACTGGGAAATTTTTAACAGCATTTACTTCTTCCCTTACCCTTTTCTCTCTCTGTGTGTTTTAAGCTGAAACAAAAATTTTGTATGTTAGGATTTTCACATTAACAAACCCAGTAGTTTTCTACTGATTTGGAGTTACCTGGATTCCTACTGTCTTCCTTTAAAGGCCTTGTCTCATATCCTTAGGTCTGGAACAACCAATCTGTTTTCTTAGTCTAATTTTTTTGATTTATTATTATTTTAAAGTGTGTGTGTGTGTGTGTGTGTGTGTGTGTGTGTGTTTTTTCTCTACATCTAATATCAGACACACTATGAGTACATGTCCCGCGCGATAGTCTTGCCGGCAAGAACCACACAGGACACTCGGATCCTTCTGCAGTCAAGCTTTAATGCATCTTACCAGAGTGGAGACTGAGCGGAGACATTGAACCAAGAAAACCATCCCTTATAAAGGCTGACCAGCTGGGATAGGTGCATGACTCGTCACCCTATATGACGCCATGGAGTAGGCGGGGCTAGGCAGTGGAAAAACACTGGGCACATGTATACCAACGTTATTTACTTGATCCGGCAGCGGATGTCAGCGCCATCTTGTAATGGCGAATGTGAGTGCGGCTCCTCACAAGTACAGTACCTCTGGAGGCCAGAAGTGGGTGACATATCACTGGAGCTGGAGTTCCAGGCAGCTGTGAGCTGCCTGATATGAGTCCTGGGTGCTGAACTCAGCCCTCAGCAAGGGGAAGATTCTTTCTTAACCACTGAGCTCTCTCCAGCTCTGCTTTTCTCTTTTTGAAGTATGCCTTTCATTTTCTCTTTTACATGGTCATCTATGCATATTTTAAGTTGTTTATGAAAACTGAACTTGCTAGTGTGTGGCAAATGACTAATCCCTTTTATTCTGCTTTTCTTTTCAGATAGAAGAATTTCGAAGGCTGAGGACACATGTTAAGGGGGCAGAACTTGTAGAAGGCTGTGATGGGATTTTGGGAGACAATTTCCGACCTACCCAGCCCCTGAGTGACAGAGTCATTCGAGCCGCATTTCAGTAGGCAGAGACACTGTGATCAAGCTCATCTGTATCAGGGTATGTGAGATTAGACAAGGAAACGAATGACCTTAACCCAAGCATCCAGAAATCACTCTGTACCCTGACTGCTGGAATATGCATCATTTTAATATGTTTATGATGCATTCTCACACCCCACTAATGGCAAGTCAGGTGGTCCTTTTCGTTTCATGTTATATTAAAAAAAAATCTATGGCTCACTTATTTTCCACTTGTACATCCCTAATCCCACTTTCTGCTTTAGTGGTAGCTTTCATAAGGAAAGGTATGTAGTGTGCATAGGCAGGGATTTTCAGCGGTCTCTTTCTTTAGTATTCACCTTTTCATCTCCTGAAGATGCAATCAAGGATCTTTCTGCGATCAAGGAACATGAATGGAAAGAAGCTTAAAAGAATGAGCCTTCCTGCTTATCACTTTGTAGGCTCATCTTGCTCACTGGTTATAGTGGGCTCTTCTGGCAGGAGTGAAAGACCTGTGTCCTGTAGAAATGTTTTCTATTAGCATATGCTACTTGTACAGAGTAATTGGTTTGTGTGTGATGTTTTCATACATATGATATACTTTGGCCACATCACTTCTGTCCCATTATTCTCTTGTGTTTGTTTCTTAGAAATACTTTTTATTTGCATAGTCAAGAAATATGTTAGCTATTTTAATGTTCTACATTTTTTAATTGATTGACATATTGAATTCAACATATTTATTACTTAACCTTAGGGAGCTCACAAACATGGGAAAGATAAAAATATGCAAAGATTACTATGTATTGGAATCTTTCTTTGCCATGTAAGCCACCTAAGTGTGCATAGATCAGAGACATTGTAGCAGACAGTGGCTTCCCATAAGGGGGACACATCTGCTAGCACAGTGCCTGGAGAAGCAGGACATAGCTGGGACTGGTGATGAACTGTGGCATGATATATGAGTTGTACGAGGGACTAGGAAGTCACAGCTGAGTAGATATTTCAGGCCATGAGGAGCTCATAGTCTCATGGCCTGGCAACTGTTGATGGTGATTTCAAAAAGGTGATGGTCTTGTCATGCGTTCTTCAACCTTCTTTTCTTGTCTCTATTATTACTCTATACAATAGAGTCTTATTTTCTGGAGTATGCTTTGCTCACTCTGTACAGTACACCCTTCCTTTTTCCTATTTAACTGCCCTGAGCTCAGTCAAACACTGGTTTTAATAGGTACTCTCTTCTTTTCTCTTAAAGTAGACTTCATTTCATGATCCCCTTTTCTATTGCTATTTATGTTTTCTGATTTTTCTATTGTATTTCAAACCTATAAGGGTTGAAATTGTTTTGTTTCACTAACACACTATAACACATCAAGTATTATACCTGGCTTGATGTCAGGCCAATTGAAGTTTTTCAGAACTGCACATATGAAGCAGTCAGCCACATTTCTTCTCCTTTCTCAGTTGGTCAGTGTAGTTCATATTCAACTTTCTCTAACTTGAGATGATGAAGGTCCAGCAAATGCACCATTGTTAGGAGTGGGAAGAAGTATATAGTAGTTCAGATGTTAAAAAGAGAAAGTCCAAGGGTGCTTTAGGCCCAACCTCAAAGTAGATGAGCTGAAGAGCTAAAATGAACTAAGTCCAAAATAACTATTGAGAACATTTTCTCACTGATTGTGGGTGTACCCAGGGAAAGACTAATAGATGCTAGAGTCTGGGGTAAGAAGTCTTGACAGTAGAGGAATAGCACTCAAACATCCACAGTTGCAAATGGCAATGCATTATGTGAATGAAGAGGACTAAGGAAGTGCCAAAAGAACTTATAGGAAGAGAAATAACTTTCTGCAAATGCTTCAAGGCATGCTGGCTGTGGAGAAGGTATGGGAGCACTGAGTCCCTGAAGGAAAGCCTGGTGTGTTTAGAGCATAGAAATACAGGGTGAAGTAGGTAAGATGCAAATGGCAGATGTCAGTTGCACTAAGATGTCTGTACAATATTGTGGACATATCATGAACCTGTAAAGACTTTGACTCCGGGGACTAACTTTATTTCATGTCTCTTTTTAATAGAACACTCTAAGAAGAAATTGAATAGATTGAATTAAAGTGAACCAGAGACAGAGTAGAAAGATTTTAGAAATATGTTGGATAGACATGGAGGCCTGGACCTTAGATTAGAAGCAGTGGTGGTAGAGAGTAGGTAATGCATTGGAAATAGAAATTGTAGATGATATCCAGTGATGAACTGGGTAAGGGTGGCAGGAGATGGAATTGTCAGGTTAAAAGCTGATGTTTGGGTCTTAGGAAACCATGGGTAGGATTCTACTGACTAACAGCAAGAAATCTGGAGGAGGTCGTTTTGGGATCAGAAAGATAAAGAGTAGGAGTTGGAGCATGTTGATAAAGAGATAGTCATCTAACATAATAGTGGGCTGATAGGAAGGTTGAACTGGTTAATGTTCACACTTCTCAGAACAAGTATCTGTTGGGAACAACTTATGGGGAAAGGAGTTATTTTAGCTTAGAATTTCAAAGAGTTCAGTTCATGGTTGTTTCTCTCTATCTGGATATAACATGATGGTACTACAGTCTTGTGATGATAGAGGACCTTTATGGAGACAGTGTTCTAGAGCCTTGTGATGATATTTTATCTTCATGGGAGACAGGATGGACACAGAAAGAAGACACAGAAAGAGGCAAGCACAGGATAGAGACCAAAGGACATTCTCTGGTCATCTGCTTCCTCCAACAAGGCATTGCCCCTATCTCTCACCTTCTCCATCAATGCCATCATATTATGGATCTATCAAAGGATTAGTCCATTGGATAGGTCTGAGCCCCCATGGTCTCGTGATCTGCAAACACTTTCCCATGCACACCCAGTGGTAAGCTTTATTAAGCTCCTAGAAATTTCTTAATTCATGAAGTTGAAAATCGAAACTAGGAATCAGAAAATTTGTCTGTGTAAAATACGGAAGTATTTGGCATAGAGGAAAAAATATATATGGCATTCAGATGGATCAGAGGCATTATTTCGCTAAGTATTTATGAAATCTTATATGGGCCTTTACAGTATAGTTAATCAAAAGACAGGAAAGTCGGACTATTCGTTGCCTAAAGTCGTTGCTTTCTTGAACAGTGAAGCTGAAAGGTTAATGTACACAGCTTGACTGGGAGACTTCTTTCTCCTAGTGCCTGGGCTGAGGTCTCCACCCTGGTGCTGTTAGTGGCTTGGCAATGAAAGGTGCATGCTGCCATGACTAAATTAATAGAGGGGTAGTGCTACAGGTACCACACCCTGGACACTTTTCAAAAGGGTGTTTAACTTTAGAAATGGCCACCCAGTGGCTTCTCAATTTGCTTCCAGCCCCATCAGCTGGGGAAGCTGCCGTTCCTTCATGCACTAGCACTGTCTGGCTTTATTGGTCTTCCTAAAAATGTTATCAACACATCTAGCACACAGATTAACAGTATTCATTGTGGCATTTTACCCATCTGTACCTTATGATCAGCTATGTCAGATGAGGCAGAATGCTGGGATAGATTTTATTTCGATCACAAGAAATACCAGAACTTGTCTTCGTGTACAGGGAGAGAGCAGAGCGTGCAGCTGACCAGTTTGCTCTTGGGGACAGATCTTGGTACTGAAGACTTTAAAACTTGTAAGACTGCAGCTCTGAACACACATGGAAACTGGTTTTGTTAAGAGAAGGTGTTTGTATATTCCAAGAGGAAGAAAGAAAGAAGTCCGGATTTATAGACTGGACCTGTTTGTGCCTTGCTTTCATTTTTAAATGAGGATTAGGGTAGTAACCAGAAGGGTGTAAGAGTCAGTGAAGCTAGGAAGAGACCCCCATGGAGGAGAGGGGAGGACCACAGAGGAGGGTCATAGAGAGGGGATGGTGAGCAGTTTTCCAGGCCGTAGTTGGCACAAAGCATTATATTATTGCCTTGTGTGCTTGATTTATAGCTAGTCTAGACCAGAGTTGCTCCTGAGTATCTAAACAACCATCACAATTCTCTGTGTGTCCTTTGTCCCTCTGTCTTTCCTCACACAGGGATAGAAATCTCATACTGCTTATGAGAGCATATATATTCCAGGTCCTTAATTATTTAACGAAAAGTGACATTTACTTTTTCTACGTTTTTAACTAATTACAATTGAGTTGTCTTTTTTCAAAGGGGGAAATCCTTCAAAATTTCTAATTCTTATTTTGTTCTTTTATGAATGTATTTTTATCCTTTTGTCTTGATATGTATAATACAAATGTATTCATAGTTCTACATAAAATTATATTGGGAAATCAGATTTATGGATGTGTTCTTTTTATTTGATATTTAATAATGCCCTAAGGCACATAATTCAAATTTTTATTAAAGTGAAGTTATTTGACAGTCAGCCTTTGAATTTAATGCATGAATGTTTCATTTAAGCTCTTGGAACTAAAGAGGGGGAGATTCCATGGTAGTTGTTCCTTTAAGAATATTTAAAATAATTCAGATTTATTTCAGCTGTGCTTTTTGAAATAACTTTAGTTTCAGAATTAAAATGACAGGTTTTTAAAATGTGACATTTCTGGACATCTGGAGGGCTTTGATAAGAAGAATTATTGTTCCCAGGAGGAATCTGAGACCTTTTTATATTAGCATTTAAGAAGTGTGAATTAGGATTCGGTAGTTATCTATAGAATTAGCATGTAACTCATCAAGGTGCTAGAATGAGATGGCTCACATTTTAGGGAGACAATTGCTATTACAAGATCCATTATTTATTGAAGTTTTAAAGAATATTTATTTTTATTTATGTGTATGTCTGAGTGCATACCACATATGTGCAGATGCCCATGAAGGCCAGAAGATGGAGTCAGAGTCCCAGGAACTGGTGTTATAGGAGGGTGTGAGCATTCTGATATAGGTGGTGGAAACCAAACACGGGTCCTCTGCAAGATCAGAAAGTTAATTGATGAACCATATCTCCAATCTTAATTAATCTTTGAATTTTTAAAAATGGGATTCACAAAAACCAGATCTTAGTAGCAGCAATAAATAAGAAGACTAGGTTTGGGGTCCAGTTCACACAGGATGCCTGGTATCATAATATTGGTACTGATCTTTTGGAAAGTATTAATTTGCATACTTTACTAAGTGTTAGCTGAATTTACAAGCTATTAGGACTGGCCACAGAGTAGCTCACCCAAGACTCAAACAACATTACTCCATGCTCGGCTTTTCACTAACTGTAATTAATCAATGATTTACTTTCTGCAAGCACCAGTTATTCATGTTTCCTAAAATAACTTTCTTTCACTTCCTTAAAAATAAAAACAACAATAAACAGAATTGCTGCCATTTTTCTTTCTGAATCTTTGAGGCTATCCTTGACTGTGTTGTACTTTTTCCAATGTGTGCTTTAGGAGTTAATGATTTTGTCTTCTTAGCTTTGATGAGGCAAC